CCAGCCAGTCAGAAACTCATCTACCAATCAGCCAATCAACAACTTACTTCACCAGCCAATCAAAACTAAACACCTAACAGACATCAGCACGCCAAATCATTTTTAAAATGAAACTTTATCAATAAATTATCAAGCAAAAGACCCTTCCAAAACTCCGACCGTAACCTTCAAACAATCTAAAAATAACCTCTAACTTTGAAAAAAAATGAATACAAAACCATCTTCAAACACAACCGAATCTCGCATTCTTCCGACAAAAGTTGACCCTGTAAAATGGCTAGCCTGGTCAGACTGGACCCCCTGTTCAACTTCCTGTGGAGATGGGGCGATGCTGCGGACCCGGTCGTGTGCCATTAACATCGGTTGTGAGGGTATCGATCACGAATATGTTAGCTGTTATAATCCGCCATGCACAGAGTCAAAGCCATATCACGGTATTTTGAATTTGTTGGTTTTTCTCGAGCTGGTCGGTATTTTTTGTTTTATTTTGAAAATATTTGTAGAGAAATGTTACTAATAGTAATTTAATATTTATTTGAGATAATTTTAAACAAAAATACCACAATATTTTTAATGATTAAAATTTTCTATAAAAAATATTTCCAGACGCAAAATTCATGGCAATTGGTGTTGTGGTCCTCATAAACATATCCATGTTATGCTGCATCACCATCCCTTACTTGTACGTTGTCGTCATCAGCGTCGTCATCATCAGCCTATCACAACTATCATCTAGTATCATCTAGAGCAGGGGTGGGCAAACTTTTGGCTGTGAGGGCCACATTGAGAACTATTTTATCTTTAAAGAGCCGCATATGTACTTAAATAGCAATTTTTTCCAATCCGGGGGAGAATTTTTTAAAAATTTGTGGCTCCTTTTTTTGGTCATAATGTCTGGCTGGCGACCTTTTTATGGGGTTAGGCCATGCGGGCTGCATAAATTAACTTCGCCGTAGTTTGCCCACCCCTGATCTAGTATCATCTAGTATCATCTAGTATCATCTGGTATCATATGGTACCATCAGGTATCATCTAGTATCATCTAGTACCATCTGATATCATCTAGTACTATCTAGTACCATCTAGTATCATCTGGTATCTTTTGGTATCATCTAGTACCATCTAGTATCATCTGGTATCATCATCCTTCTCTCTATTATTTATCTTCGTATCATCGTCAAGAACGTCATTACGGTCATTTGTTTATAAAATGTTCATAAAAATTTTCTCATATTCATAATTTTAATTGTATCAAAATTAATTATTTAAATGGATTATATTTCAATTTGATTCAAATAATGAACAGTTATTAATCTTGTGTAAAAAAAAAATAATTTCAACAGCAAACGTAGAAAAGTCAATCAACCATCTCTATACCAGCCGCCACCAAATCAACAAACCCAGCAGCAACTGCCGTCAATTACGTTACCACAAGAATTATACCGACAACACGAGCCCGGTTCTCATTACTCGCAATACCGAAATGAGTCCAACCCTCATGATACCGACTCCTCGATGAGTAAACTCGATTACGACTATGTAGCTAGCCCGTACGTTAAAACATCAGATGATAAAACAACTCAACAGTCGGTGAAGAATTTAAAAACCGATTCATTACGCGATAATACCGACATAATCGATTCAAAAAATACCGATAAGTCGCTTGATCAAAACCTTTCACCAAGAATCGTTCATTCAAATCCGGATAAGTTAGGAACCGATATAAAACAGCAGAAAGTTACACAAGCAAATTCGAGTCCAGCTATTTTACATAAAACAATCATGCAAACTGATAAAAAATCACTGGTACAACATAGTTCAAAACCGGATATAAACGAACATTTGGAATTGCTATCTCTGAATTTAATTTCAACTTCTCAAAATGAGCAAACAACCGAAGATTGCAATCGACAACATCCATTTGAAATGGGTGATTCCATACAAATAATCAATCCTGCAATTTTGCCAGTCGACAAAACTTCAGCCAATCAGAAACAAACTTTGTCGGGTTTAGATGGGCAAGCGTTTTATCGGTACCGACCATCGAATATTGAGGCAATCAATCCTTACCGGTATAGACCGTCCATTAATGACAACCAGCACTGCAATGCAACGGAGTACAGAATGACAAAACTGTCAGAAGATAGCGCACTACAAATGTACAGACCGTCCCTGAGAGAATTTGAGAAAATAAATTACAGAACGGATCAATTAGGCTCCTTACAGTATCCTTCAGAAATATATCGACCCGATCTCAATCAAAAAGTTTGTGATTACGTATACAGACCTCCAGAACATGTCGGTATTTCGTCTCAGGATCGAATATCGTCTCGGTACCGACCAAGTATAAACGATATTTACAACAAAATCAAGCCGGATGGTAAACATGACACGTCGCCATTACTAAAATTAAATTCTTCTGTGTTAGATTCAAGCGTCCTAATCAGCGGTGGAATGGTTGAGTCCCACGGTTCATCCGGTGACGTCCTTTCCAATGATGTGCTGAAATTCAACATATCCCATCTTTTCCTGTCGAAACTTGAAAGTTTGAAAGAGAGGATGGTTGTCTCGAAGGACCAATCGGATGAAACGAAATTTGAACAGCCCTCAAAGAGTGATGAACCCGACGAACCGAGTAATTTCAATGACACCGATGCAAGAATTAACATAATTGAAAATCGTGAAGAAAGTGCCAAACATAGACGCAGTAGTCTGCCGCACTTTCGTCAAAAATTTTTTAAAGTCTTTTCAAAACATTTTACAAGAGATGTCAGACGCACACAGAACACTTCATCAACCGATACGTCCAGTGTCGAAACGATTCAGTCAGTTATAGCGGACAATTATGTCGACAAAGTTCGAAAACCATCCAATCCAACATTTACGTTAACTCCAACCGAACCTATAGTTCAACGGATGGCTTCTGAGTCGAACGATCGAGTTACCGAGTTGAACCAAGCTTCGATTGTTTTACCGATAAGAAGAGCTGGGAATCGATCACCTGATAATAGAATAACCGATTCCAAACCGATCGAATCACCGTCCTACGCAAATAAACTGAGGCCAAAAAATGTGAGTTTCGCGAAGTCATCTCAAATTAAGTACATCCCTAAAGAGCCGAGTGTTAGTGGAAGTTCGTGTAGCAACACGTGTTTGTTCTACAACCCCAATCAGATGGTCGGCACGCCAGACAACGACGACGACAACGATAGCAACTCTAACTTCTTTCCTTATCCAAGAAAACCGGTTGATGTTCCCAGTGATGGTCGGTTCGATGATGACCCGACTGGCGATCAAGTAGATAAAATGGACCACGAAGATAAAAATGACGATGATGACAAACGCGACGATAACAACGCTGATGATAGTGATGGTGGTTCAGTGAACACAAGTAGTTCTAATAAAAATAAGACAAGTGATCTGTGTTTGACAGCGAGCGAAGAGCAGAATGAAAATAAGAAAAAGAATTTGTACAACCAGTTCATTCAGAAGTTTCGATATAAACCAACCACCCCTGCAAACGTAAAAAATTTGAATGTCACAACCAGCAGTGAAAACGGAGCAAACAGAAACAACTTTAATAAGTTTAAAACCATCGAGGCTGATGTACCGAAGCCGAAAAGAGATTCGAAACGCATCAATTTCGTCGGTATATTCAAGAGGCACATCCATTTTAAAAAAGTCGAACTATCAAAACCATCTTGCTCTGACGATACTGAAACTGTTTCACTTGTTGGCGTTCACCAAAATCTAAAAAAATCGGAAACTATCAACCAATCGCGTCCATTCTACAACACATTTGAAACTAACATTCAGACGGGATGTACCGAAACTTTACCGCTAGAAAACCGAAACGTTGCCGGTATTATTCAAACACCCAACAACAAAAACAACAATCGGATCAACACATGCACGCCTTCAACAAACAACCCTTCAACTCCAATCTCCAGCTATTTGCAACCTTCCCGTTATTCAGAAAAAAATAAAGCGTTACAATACGATATGACGTCACCGATTACGTCAGAGATAACCACACCCCCCTCCGTGCAAAGCACATTCCTACTGATGGCCCCGGATAGTAGTGATGATCACCAACTGAACAGTGACGATAACAAAACTCGCGACTCGAACTTTAGAACCGTCGGCATCGATAATAGTAAAATCGGAACCGGTATAGATGAGGAACCGAGACGAAACCGGCCGATCGGTCGAAACAACGTCGGTAAGATTCGAATGAGCGAGGAAGAGATCGAGGTAATAAGATCAAGAAGGAAATTTTTAGAAGGCTCATCATCGTCAACACCATCATCATCATCGTCGTCGTCATCATCATCCTCATTGTTCTATGTTGAATCGTCTTTAACCTCTAGAAAACAATTGTAATAATAATAATAATAATAATAATAATAATAACGAGTATTATTGTCATTTTGATTTATTTATATGTAAAATAATTTTTTGACCGACCGATTTTAAAAACGCCAATGAAGGCATTATTATTATAACTCAAATATTCACACTTGATATAATCATATTTGAATTTAATTCAAATAAAAATGTTAATAAAATTTCAATCAATCAACCAACCAACCAACCAATCAACCAATCAATCAATCAATCAATCAACAAATCAGTCAATCATTTAATCAGCCAGCTAACCAACCAACCAATAAAACATTGTATCTTATTCATTCAATCAATCAAACGCTCATGCACTAGTTTCTTGATTCCTTCACTAATTTATTCATTCGTTCGTTCATTCATTCATTCATTCAGTCATTCATTCATTCATTCACACTCATTCAATCCATCCACTAATTTTTCCTCTTCAATTCACTAATCCGTCCGATGCATTGGAGGCTATCTTTTTCAACGTAATCACTCTTACTACGGAGGAGATAATATCATGAAAATAATTTAATTAAAATTGAAACTAATAAACAACAACAACAACAGCAACAACAACAATAACAACAACAATAATAAAAAGAAGAACACAAACATATTTATAAGGTGCAGTGGCAGTCTAAACCGCCCATCAGATGGGCAGTTTTGAAGGATGTGTTGGGCGTATGTACGTACGTCTGGTTCGTAACTGGACTGTGGTGGGTGGTCAAGATGATGATGATGATGGTTACAAGGATGGTTATAATGACGATGATGATTTTAATGATGATGATGATGATGGTTATAATGATGATGATGATGATGGTTATAATTACGATGATGATGGTTATAATGATGATGATGATGGTTATAATGACGATTGTAATGGTTATAATGGTTATGATGATGATGATGTTGAGTGCTGTGATAACGATGATGATAATGATGAAGGATTCCTACCCTCAATAAATGCAACTCGAACAGGGATGTGTTCTGGGCGTTGCAAAAATCCGGATTATCCGATTCCGGATCGTATTTACCGTTTCCGATCGAGTCCGTGTCCAAGAGGACTTCACACTTGGGATAATTCTAAAAAAATTATTATTTGTAGTAGTAGCAGTCGTTGTAGTAGTAGTAATAGTAGTAGTAGTGATGGTAGTAGATGCGATAAACAACATCATAATGACATTAAACTAACTCTAATAATTTCCCTAATCATAGATAAAACAGTGATGGCCGATCGGCCGGAGAGATGCGTCGAAAGTATGGAAAGCCGTTTAACGTAGGCCAGGCATCTTTGGTCGGATACGTGCCTTTTCCGCTTGTTGAACATCAGGTCGAGGCATTTTATACAAGATGGTAGGTCGGTGTTTGCGTTTGCTGTTTGTTTGTATGTTTGTTTGTATGTTTGTTTGTATGTTTGTATGTTTGTTTGTATGCTTGTTTGTTTGTATGTATGTTTGTTTGTATGTTTGTTTGTATGTATGTATGTATGTTTGTATGTGTGTGGGTGTTTGTATGTATGTTTGTATGTTTCTTTGTTTGTATGTATGTATGTATGTTTACTTGTTTGTATGTATGTATGTATGTTTACTTGTTTGTATGTATGTGTGTTTGTGCGGGTGTTTGTATGTATTATATTTTGTATGTAACAACGACAAAAACCATAACAACACAAACAATAGTTGAAGGATAGGAGGGTCTTGTAGAGATGTAGGTAAAACTTGTAAGGGTCAATGTTGAAGGCTGACCCTTGACCCAACAACAATGTCAAGGACGTTTCTATGCAGTGCAAACTTTCCCTCGTTGTCAGGTCCTGATTACGATTAATATTATTCTCTATCATCATCATCATCACCATCCTCATCATCATAATCATCATCATCATCACCATCATCATCATTATTGTTGTCTTTGCAGCTATAATCTTTATTCTCAGTTTTAATACATCTAATATTAATAATCAATCAATTAATTAATTAATCAGTCAATCGATCAATCAATCAATCAATCAATCAATCAATCAATCGATCGATTGTTCAATCAATCAATCAATCAATCAACCAATTAACCAACCAACCAATCAATCAATTGATCAAACCAAACCAACCAATCAATCAATCGACCAAACCAAACCAACCCCAGATTCAACGAGTTTAGTTAGAACGGCAAACAAATCATCAAAATATGACACGTTGATTAGATGGGCAAACCTTTATTATGATCATAATTAAATAATTAATAACAACAACATAATAAAATAATAAATTAATAATTACGCATGGAATGACTCTTGGCAAAATCAATCAACCAGCCAGTCTGCCAGCCAACCAACCAATCAATCAACCAATCAACAAGTTGACCTACTTAGCAAGTCCCGCGAGTACAGATGACAACAACTTTGAGTCGCTGGCAAGTTTCAAAATTCGAAAGTAGGTTAAAAAAACCATGCTGACTATCTCGGTGTGCTGTGTATGAAGTTGGTTCATGGAAACGAATGAATGAATGAATGAATGAATGAATGATGAATGAATGAATGAACGAATGAATCAATAAATCAACCAATCACGCAATTAAATAATCAATCAGCCAGTCAATCACTCAATTGGTTAATCATTGCCGACGAGTCATCAACCATTTAGACGATTAATCAATCATTCAATCAACCAACCAACCAACCAACCAATCAATCAACCAATCAATAAATCAATCAATCAACCAACCAATCAACCGACCAACCAACCGACCATCTTAATTTTACGCTTGGTGTTGTCTGTAACAGCCGCCTCTTCCAGTTCCTTCTCCAGCTCTTTCATTTGTTTCTTTCGCTGTGGGTGATGGTGACAGTGACGACGACGATGATGATGATGATGATGATAGTAATAATAATAATAATAATTATAACTTTTCGATCTCTCTTGGACATCATCTTCGACATCTTCCTCTTCTCCTCCATCGTCATCATCTTCTTCCTCACCTCTCCATCGTCATCACTATCTCTAGAAACTTCTTTTATCTTTAAGGATAGAAAAGTATCTAAGACCTGTATGTGTGTATGTAAGTATGTGTGTGTGTGTGTGTGTATGTGTGCGTGTGTATAACCTTGTGTGTATATGTGTATGTATGTGTGTATGTATAACCTTGTGTGTGTGTGTGTGTGTGTGTGTGTGTGTGTGTGTTTGTGTGTGTGTATGTATGCATGTATGTATAACCTTGTGTGTATGTATGTGTGTGTGTGTGAGTGTGTGTATGTATAACCTTTGGCTTGACATCAAATTTTCTGACCTTGATTGCCCGACCTATTAACCTTATGACCTATAAAATATTTTATTGAGTGTATGTGTGCGTGTGTGTGTGTGTGTGAAAGAATGAGCCAAAATTCATTCAAACATTCGTCTAGCAATTTAGAGTTTAATTTATTAGATTATTATCATTCAGCCATCCATCTACCAATTTATCATTCACTTAAGTATTCAGCCATCTACAAATCCATCATTCATTCATTCATTCATTCATTCATTCATTCATTCATTCATTCATTCATTCATTCATTCATTCATTCATTCATTCATCTATCCATCAATCAAACCTCCAAAGTGACGTCACCGACTTTATCAGCTCCGAACAACTTCTTCACAGCTTCACACGCTATGTCGCTCGTCTTTTTTATTATAGTTATAATTATAAATTATAATATTAATAATAATCATTATTATTATTATTATTACAACATCATCACCATTACCTTAGAATCGTGGTTAAACATGGATCTGACAATGATGGCGATGATCTCAACCCTGAAGTTGAACTGAGGGTGAGAGTTCAAAAGGTCACCGAGGCACTCCACTGACCTCCTCTTCAAGGTCTATTTATAGATCGGTGGGTTGGGGTATTATTATTCATTATTGTTAGTAATGAAAACAAATTTATTTTAAATAGAGAAAGAAACCTTCTTGTTTTTCAATTCGGTATCTTTGGTAACACCACAATTGACGTCATCATCATCACAATCGGCATTTCCTCCATCATTTACACGGCGGCCATTACTAGTTGATCTATTATTCTTTTTTGACTTTTTATTGAAAGAATATGTCTGACCTTTAATGAATTTTTTAAAGATTTTACACGCATAGGTTTATGCAAACAAACAAACGAACGAACGAACAAACACACACACACACACACACATACACAAATATACAGACATAAACACCTTTACAAAAGATGTCCAGTATTTCAATATACTTTTTGTAGCATGTTAGTAATGTTTCTTCTGTGCCAAACAATAGTTTGGTTTCTTTTTTCATCTGCAATCAATCAATCAATCAGTCAATCAATCAGTCAATCAATCAGTCAATCAATCAGTCAATCAATCAATCAATCAATCAATCAATCAACCAACCAACCAACAATCAACCAAACAATCAATCAACTAACCAATCAAAAATCAACACCCCACACAACTAACCTTTTGTTTTTTCTCAGTATCACTGATCAGTCTAATTTTATAATCCGGTATTATATCATTGAATACCTCAAATAGAGATATTAGCGCGTATTTGCGGATAAAATGAGTGTACTCGTCTGCTAAATACCCCATAACTTCGTTTAACTTCCCGATCTGTTTAAAAGTGAATTTTTAATATGTCATATATATATATATATATATATATATATATATATATATTTTTTTTTTAAACTGTTTTAAAGTAAATTCATTTCAATAGTACACAAACAAAACTATATATAAACAAATAAGCAAGCATAAACAATCATACATACAAACAAGCGACAGAGAGACCGACAAACAAGCAAACAAACAAACAGAAATATATGACTATAATTAACATCATAATTTGGGAAAAAATGACCAATTATCACCCACATTATCGTCAATAGACTGTAAAATTGATTTGCATAGATTAGAAATTCCTCTTTTCAATTGTTGAGTTTTTATTTTCTCATCTATATACTCTTCAACTTTGGACTTCTTTCTCGGAGGGTGAGAATTACTTTGATCATTACCATCCTCACCGTCATCATCATCACCACCATCATCATTGTTGACGTCATCATCATCATCACCATTGTTGACGACATCATCATCATCCTCATCATCATCTGATTTCTGTTCAATCTCCATGGATCTATGTATGATTCCTTTATCTTTGGACTTGAACGGAAGCAGTTGTTTAATTTTAACGTTTTTGCTTCTGTCGTTGTTGTTTTTGTATCTTTGTTCATACAAACCTTCATTCAATTCATAATCTTTGGTAATTTTGTCATTGTAAGAGTTGTTGATGTTGTTTTCTTGCTGTTTTCGTTTTTTTCTGCCCAGTTTTTTACTTGACTCATCACTGATAATAATAAATAATTTAAAAAAATTAATTTTTAATCATTAACCAACTAAATAAAAATTAACCAACCAATCAATTAGCCAGCAAATCAACCAACGAATCAATCAATCACTAATTAATACAAATGACTGAAATTGAATTCAATTAAAAAACAAATGGCTGATTAACATTGTTACCAAGATCCAATCAGCAAGTAAGACTGAAATAGGTAAGTAAGAGAAATGACTTATGAAAAGCTAGCAAACGTTTGTTAACTAAGGTTTAAATTTAAGCTATTTCAAAAAAATAAAAAATATTGTAAATTAAATTTTATTGTAAAATAGAAAATAATTTCAAGTTTGAAATGATATTTAGTGTAAATTTTGGGTTGGTTAGTGTCGGGGTTAGGTTGGGAACATTAGTAAACGAACATTTGTTGACTTCAGACAAGTGAGAAATGTAACTTACACAGCAAGATCAGACAGAAAATCGAAATTCCTTCCAGGTTTAGCATAGTAGTCGTAGTCAGCTTCTTGCAGCGGAATGTCATTTTCAACCTCCGGCTCTTCCCTTTCTGGGGCCGATTTACGATCTAGTTTCTTTTTCGATGTTCGCTCTTTTAGTAAGCTTACTAACTTTTTTTTGCCAACAGCCTTTTTAAGTTTTCCCTGCTTTGCAAGTTTGTTAAGTTTTTTGTTGGAAAGTTTCAACAGGCTGATTTTCCTCTTGCCTGGCTTTGGGCCCTTGCCTTTGTTTTTCTGAGATTTAGTGAAAACGTGAAGTTTGTCAAAAAAATTTATAAAACTTAAAAAAAGTAAAAAATGTAACTCACGCCTTTGGCCATTTATACGAGTTTTGTATTTAAATAATTATTTAATTTTAAATTCAAAGTTTATATTTAGGAACAAATCAACGTGCGTAGGCGAGCGATATTAAATTTCTAAACAAAAGATTTACTAGCAATTTTATAATTTCTTTGATTTGTGTGAAAAGTGAATTCTATGAAAAATAAACTTCCATTAAGAACAACTTAGCGGTTGATCTGAAAATCTTTAAAATTTTATTTAATGTAAAGAGAAAAGAAAAATGGCTTCAAACAAACGGAAAGTTGGTTTTTTAGTTTTTAATGCTGTCAAATTTTTTCATAATTTCAATTTTCCTATGAAAAATTATAATTAGATGGGAGATCTAAAAGATTGATTGATAGATGAGTATTAGTTAGATTTTGATAGACATAAATAAGGATTCATTAGATTAGCATTAGAGAGACTATTCTATTAGAAGATTCATTAGTTAGATTAGTCTCTAATCATTAAAAAAAGTTAGGGCTAATCCAGATTTGTGACTGATACTGATTGATTAATGATTAGCATAGCAGAGTAGAAAGTCTTCTTACTAACTGGGGTTAACTGCTATGCTAGGTCATAACAGATAAGAAGACTGATTATTACTAATCTATGATTAAGTCACAGTTTTACATGACTTTTTTATTTATTAATTGTTTACTTTTTTATTAATTATTTTAATTTGCTAAAATTTGAATTATCCACTAGATTTCATCACTTTACAACAGCAGCAATAATGAAAACAGTCAGAATAAGAACAGTAAAATATTCCCTAATTGGCCTAATGAGATGGAATTCTCAAGTTTAAATTCACTTTTAAAGAAGAAATGTACCAAAAAAGAGTTACTGGATGTCTCAAAAAAGACACTTTTTCCTGATAAGCATGATTTTTTTGCGAGAAATACTAACAAAAACCGAAATTCAATTTTAAACAAAGTTTACAAAGGTTGTGGTATATTTTTTTATTATAGTTAATAATTATATTATTGTAGTTATAGTTAAAATTTTTATTTTCATCACTAATTATATATTTTACATTGGCGATAGCTGCATTTCAATCATCATTTTGTGAAAGAGATAATGATGATGATAATAATAAAAAGAAGACGAATCATAAAAATAAAAATATTAACTCCTCTACTGTTACATTTACTAGAAAGACTGGTAACACATTTGATGAATTTTATATAGAAAGTGATAATGATGATGATGATAAAGATACTACTGTTAATAATAATAGTAATAATAATAAGCGTGATGATGATGAGGATGATGTCACAAAGATAGCGGATTATGATGATGATAGTCATCGTTCTCAATCATCGTCTGTTAGTATTATTTCTAATTGAATTTTTTTTTTCAAAAAAAGTCAGAGCGGTTATATTTACAATGTTTGGTTCATTCATTCGCTCATTTATTCATTCATCCATTCATTCATTTATCCAATCATTCATCCATTCATTCATTTATTTATTTATTCATTCATTCATTGCTAATGACCCTATTAGCAATGGAGTGATCTAACACAGAGCACAATAAATACGGCCTACAAGTTATGCAATAATTATCATGGTGATGAGGATGATAATTATGTGACGTCATTCAATCAACTGACCAATCAGGAATCTTCATCTTCAATCAACCAAGAAAAATCAACCAATCAGAAATCATCATCTTCAACTAATCAGAAATTTTCATCTCTAATCAATAAATTTGCAACGCCAACCAAACATTGCAATTATAACTGCTCTGACTTGGAACAAATTGATTCTGGGAAGAAGAGGAAAAAATTTATTGTGTTAGTAAGTTTATTGTGCGTTCATTCATTCAGCAGTTATTCATTCGTTTTCTCGTTTATTCATCCATTCATTCGTTCATTCATTCGTTCATTCATTCATTCATTCGTTCATTCATTCAAACATTCATTGATGAAAAGAAACGCCATCGCAAATGTAAAATTATCAATTAAATGATCATTTCATCAAAAAAAAAATTTCAATTTCAGAGGCGGTCTAGCAGAGCGACTGAAACAGATAGTAGACGGACAGAAGCGTGATAAACTCTTCTCAGTTCACAGATACAAAAATTCGATAATTCGCGACGACGATGTCAATCCGGGTCCGGTGGCTCCAGCCGATCCGGACCCAACCTTCCAAGTCCGACTAACGAGTCACGGATCGGTGAAAAACCATTTGGTCATGTTCGACTGCGTTCTGGTGATAGTTTCACCAGCCGTGGTTGAAAATGTTAGCGCGGCCATAGTTCAATATAAGGTTCTCGTTAGGAGGGAGATGGTTCTAAAAGAGAACCTTTGTGAGATGAGTTTGCTTAATATCTATCCGCCTTGGTATATATTTTTCAAATTTTCAAGTCTGATAGATGATGATGATGATAGTAGTAATGATGATGATGATGATGTTTTGTGTCCTAGTCTTCTATGTTTATGTTTTTTGTGTGTAAATTTTCATCTAGTTATATGCCTTGTTGTTTATTGTTGTCTGGGACAGTAAGTACTGCATTTAATTATTTTAATAATCATAACCCGTATATATTTTATTTAATTATTTGAATAATTTTAATAATTATAACCTAAAAGACAAAATCAACGATCCTTTTGTATCATTTATTAATTAAAACAATATAATGATAATGATAATACAATAATGTTTATACTAATTATAGTGGCGACAATACACTAATATTAATAATAGTTATAATAAAAATTCCAGCTTGAACGACACTTTTTTATTACAGCAGTTGTGATAACATTCACAATTACGCCAACAACAATAATAATAATATAAATAATATTCATAATAAATTTATATACATAATAATTGTTATTATTATTTTCTTCCAGGTTCATCCTGCCTCTGAATGCAAATAGCAATGTAATATTCTGCTCCGATGGTGCCAAATGCAAACAGATAATATAAGTAATAATAATTATTATTAATCATAATTATAATAGTCAAATGAATGAGTTAAAATTACTCTCATTCAATCTGTTGTAATTTTCTTTACTATGTAGAATTAACGTTAATATAATATGCTAATATGTATTTGTGTATTGGAGCTAATGTAATAGAAACAATCTCTGTGTGTGTGTGCGCGCGCGCGCGTGTGTGTTGTAGTATAATTAGAGTATTATACACTAATAGCACACCTCAAACATAGCGGTTAAGACATGAATACCAATAAAAAAAAGCATATTTACAAAGTTTTTAAAATGAAAAAAATTTTACTGGTGACAAAATATTGGGGCTGCCATAGACCCAAAAACTTTCCCACGTCCCCTTTGGTTACTGCCAAAGGAGTAGTAATAAACGATGGTGGTGGTACACTAACGGTTGTATTTACAATAGCAATGGGTAGTTAAGTATAGTAGCGTTTCTACCCATAGTAATAAAGGACAATGTAGTATTTATAAGAAGTATTTGCCCTTTTGATTACTACGTTCATTCATGCTTAAAAAAAAGTAGCTCTAGTAAGATTTATCAAGTTGAAATTATTTACAATGCAAAATTCCCACGTATCTACTATATGTATATATATAAAACATTGACTTGAATATAGATAGATGACTATATATATGTCTAAAACTATGTATGTACAATGTGCATGTAGGTATGTAACTTTGCTATGTTATTCATTATGTACATGTTATCTTAATAATTACATCCATGTTCATCATAGATAAAAAAAATTATGTGTATATATATATATATAAAATGTCTGTTGACGTTAACGAAGTCTTTATAATTGTACATAGCTATGTGTGTGTTTATATATGATATATGTATAGTATATAAATACAATTGATGTGTGTTTTTGTATGTATGTGTATATATACAACGTTGGTATACGTGTGTGTCTTTAATATGGATTTTTTTATGATTTTATTTAAATTTTTTGTAGCCAAAACTCTAAATGGATGTGTGCGTATGTATGTGTTTGCACATGCATGTATGTGTGTGTGTGTGTGTGTGTGTGTGTACGTGTTTGCGTGTGTAGTTTTGACGAGAAGCTTATCAAAATAAAATAAAAGTAGAGGGCGTAACGTACATTTGCGTCCAGAATTTTGATAAAATCATATTAAATGTAACCAGCGTTATGGCTGTTTAATTGCAAGAATTGAACTTCGGCGAGATTAAAAAAATCAAACTATTCAATTACAATGAAGGTAATTATATATATATATATATATATATATATATATATATATATATATATATATATATATATGCGTATATATTAGTCTTTACACCTTTGAGAATAACACAAAAATCAAGTTAGCGAATGTTTGAAACATGAATTATTAATGGAAAAATAAAAATGGTGGCACCTTCAGTTAAATGTTCGTAACTTCGACCTCTTCCAGGTTGACGTTTTTCATTTCATTTAACTCGATGGGGCAGTCGTTGGCTGCATCTTCCATCGTTCTCTCGGGAGCAGTGAACAGCAGAGGTTTGTGAATTTGATTGTTCAGCTCTGCGTTTGTTAGTGTGGTTACGTTTGTCAGACTGCTGTTTTTGTAAATGTGTCTTTTCTCTTCAGGACTATTCCTGTTTACCGAGGTCAGTGACTGAACTGAACCGTTACTTATCATTGAAGCCCTGGATGGATCGCCTCTGTGCGGTTCGTCCTTCAGTGTTATCAGGAGGTCAACTTTTAAGGGCATCATCTGATCGGAACCGATTACCGTTCGTTCGAATTCGTCGGTTCGTAAAATTTCGCTATTTCCGGCGAATCTAAGTCTCGAATCTTGTGTTCTTCTTCTCGGCGATTCGGGGTTTTCAAAAACTAAATCCGATACCGCCCACGATTTTCTGTAACTTTTTATTTCCCAGAACAAACGTTCTCCAAGAATGTTATCATATTTATTATTATTGCCACTGTTGCAGCATTGATAAAATACGTAGATTATACTTGGTAACAAGCCACATATAAATATGAACATGACTTGCATTCCTGCAGAAAATATGGCGGTGCCTCTGTAGTCTTCGTATTTCTTGCTGTCATCTCCCGTCACATCTTCATAGAAAAGAATGACCATCAGCAGCAATGTTAGATACAAACATGACAGAATGAGCTTGGCTGAAGAGATGACCAATGTCTTCCAGAGGGGGCCGGGACTGTACGGTGTCTGCAAATGGCAGGCCCTCCAAAAAAGATCCCTCGGTATACGCATTACGTCATTTCCGTCGATGAATAGGACTAAAGAATTGATCGTCCAATGTAATTTGCCGTTTATGTATTCTATGTTATCAGAATCGTCGACGGATTTATCCAGGATGACAACTTCCGGCTTGTTAAGCACATCCCTGTAGGGAGATTTATAGTTTCCGAATGCGTTCCCATCGCTGAATGCGAGTTCGTTCATATTCTGAAAGATGCTTCTATCCAGAATTTCGTCGTGTTGAAAAAATTTAAACGCAGTCCATTCCTTAGCATCCTTACATCTCGTCAATTTGTTGAATATTTCTTGGCGCAATTTTAACTGCAACGTTTCAAAAAGTTGATAACTGAATTTTGAATATTTCCTCTTGATGTGAAAAAAGAATATAATCAAATGCAATAGACAGAAAGAAGCAAATATCAAGTAAAAAACATTTATCTTCGTATTGAGGAAGGCACCTAACAACGATAAGAATGCCATTTCTATCAAGAAACCAAACGCTTCTGCATACATAACGCTCAATGAAAGCACAATGGTAATAGAAATAAGACCGATAATGATGCTTTTAACAAGAGAAAGTATGAAGGCTTTGTTAAAGTAGCAGCAGAACAGGAATCTAGATTTTTGTAGCGATTTGTCAGGAATGATATTATACTTCAAACTATCATCTTTAGGGCTGATTTGGTCGAGAAAGAAGCATGTTGACAGCGAAGAAACTTCGCGAGAGATGGAATGTTCGTTCTGAGATCTAAAATTGTTCGAAGATGAACCACCTAGGCAGCTTGGTCTTTCTTTTATTATCAAACGGCCGATTATATACAATATAGGAACGCAGTAAATCATCGACAGTATGAGAACAATAGGCATAACTATCGGCCAATAAAACATGCCTATCAGAAGACCAAAAACGCCAAATTTTTCGAACGGTAAAACTAAATGTGCCAATATCATGCGCATGCATTCGAATCTGTTCAAATTTTTGAAATCGTTGACGCACTGAGAAACGATAGATTTTATCTGATCCGGGAATAGAGCTTTTAATATGACAAATAAACCAAAAGATATGCCGTAACATAAAAACAATCCAAAGTAGCAAGCGTGCCTGGAAATGCCTTGAAATAAAATCTGACCGACATCCATATCTAGATTTAATTTATCCAAAAACTCATGTCTTGTGTCTAGCTCACTCTTCTCAAAAAGATAAAACATGATGACCCTGATGTAAAACGGCAGAGGTAACAATGCAATAAGCAAGAGAGTCGTGAAGCATTTAAAAATTGTATACCACGGGCAGCATTCTCTGCAGGAATTATTCATGTTGCACTTTTTCTGCAGATGACACCAAAGAAAATTTGGAGACCAACTTCCAACCAAACTTTCGCCACAGCATGTTTTAAATGGATCCGTTTTACCGCATTCACATCTGAAAAACATGGAATAAAAATATTGAAGAAACTGCACGGGGGACTCTTGTTTTGAAATTAATTCGCTATGATTCACAGTTAAATCCAATCTGCAGAAACTGACAGCCACTATTTCTTCAGACGGTATCGGTTTAACGAGTCGTCTGAAATTACTGAACTGTTGAATCGGTTTATTTGACGAAGAATATTTTGTCGGTCTTAAAACGGACTCGTAATCTGAGTGAACTCTTTTGATTAACATCGTTTTTTTGAGACCGGGTCTGTTGATTGGCACGACGTAACTAAATTTTCCGACAGATTTGTTGTAGAATAATTTCTGAATAACCAGCGGACACATCAAAAAGAAAATAAGTTTCAAAACGCAATTAGCGATGTGTAGAAACTTCATATAACTTGTTTCTTGCAGTAGACAACTTGTTTGTACGTTATCGCAACACGACATCACAAATTTACCTCTTGAATTTTCAACCTCCACTTTCTGGTAGCATAACTTATCCGGAAAACCACCAGGTTTATTTTTAGGCATGACGTCATCTAACATCTGAAAAATAGCGCTCACTTTTTGGCCTGTGTTGAGTTTTGCGAAACAAAATTGAAAGGATTCCGTCACTCCAACCTTCATCTCCTTGACGCCCGACGGCAGCATCGTCAACGACATGACATCATAGTTAAACGACAAAGACAACAAATAACTTCCCTGACTTGTGAATGCGTGGTACCAAGAATTTAGTTTGTAAATTTTTGGCGATGTGACGTTCAACAGCGGGTTGCTCCTGTTGGCTGCGTCATATTCCGGGAAGAATAAATTATACTTAATCACGTGTACGTAATCCATCTTCAACATATCCTCAACTATAGAATCTGAATTTGACTCGAGAAAGAGCTTACAATCATCGCTGTTGACGAGTGACGATTCATCTTCTTCTACCGCAACTTTGGGTGAGACCATCTCTTTTTTTGGCGGGTCATCTTCCACATTAATTGGCGGAAGGTTAAGTTTACTTATGTCTACGTTTTCGTACTGACTGATGTCGATGTTGTGTTCTTTGGCGTATTTTTTATAAGCCTCTATCTGTTTCTCGGATAGCTGGGACGTGACGGTGATGATGACGAATGGATGTAGTAAAGTTACTGCTGTTAATATTATCTTCCACATTCTTTTAAACTCTGTGGCAAGTTTTTTTGTAAGTTAAATGAATTTTATCCGACCTTTACAAATCACTTCCAGTTAATTAAACTATGAAACCGTTACAAAATTTTCAGAATTTAAACTACACCAGCCTTATCATCAGTATTATTATTACTAATGTTAATTATTAGTACTGATTTTTAAAAGCATTTTTTTTACTTCAAAACTCCCTAATTAATTAATTTTTAATTAGTAAAGTTAATTATTGTGCAGTTGCTTTTTTTGCCATTAATTAATCGAATTTTAAATAAAATCGAAAATCCGTATCGGACAGCACAAAACTGAAAAGAAATATAATTGTTATATAATTATTACGGAAACATTGATTCAGATATTTATCATGAGTAAGGATTATTATTAATATTTCATTATAATGATTATTATTTTTCTTATTGTTATTATTATTATATATATATATATATATATATATATTGTAATTAATTCTTAAATATGTTACGAATCGAAACTAAAAAATCGTTCGCACTGCTACTACTGAAAAAACTAGAAAAAAATATCAATCTCCAAAAATCCGAAAAAATTCCTAATTTCACAGATAGGCAGACAGACGGAAAGTTATTAATTTTTTGAAAAATAAACAACAACAATAATAATAATATAATAATATCGAAAACGAACGTTAGCCTGGCTATAAAACAAACGATTTTGAATCTAAATTATCATCGATGTGTTTACAAAATGCAGGTTATATATATATATATACATACACACACAAACATATATATATATATGCATACATATATATATATATATGCATACATATATATATGTGTATATATATATATATATACTGTAGTACGTTTGCCCTGATGATGCTTGCAATGTAATGATGAGACTCAAGTGCACATGTACCTAGCTGCACACTAGTAGGTTCTGCTGCACCTAGCATCCTATTATTATTCATAAAAAAATACCATACGAACCATCTAGTTAATATTTATGAGATCATCCCTAGCTAGAAGCTAATTAATATTAACAAGTACATCCCTGGCTAGATAAATCTCACGAGATCTTCCCTAGCTAGAGTAGCATCTCATTAATACTCATGAGATCATCTCAGCTTGCAGCAATGCTTGCATCCTAGGCTGAAATTCGAGCTAAAAATAAACATAGAAGCAAAAGGATAATTGTTCATTTATAATTGCCATTATCATTATTTTTTTTATTATAATTATAATTTGTTAGTTATGCAAATATTATTTGGACATAGTCTAACGAAATTTTGTAATATAATCCATTTTTTTAATAAAATTTGCGTTAAGATACATATATATATATATATATATATATATATATATATATATAACTTAATTTGTGATTGGTTCACTATTAAGGGCCCACCAATAAGGGCCGACCAGTCAGGGGAGCCCAAATTATATCAAGCGTTTGTGATTGGCCAACGAATATGGCAAGACCGCAATCCAGAGTATTCTCTTCACAATTATCTTTGAGTGTATTTGGTTGATAAAGTTTTATCATTTAATTCTATAAAATACTTGAGTAGATAAAACTGTTTGTTTTCTATTTTGTTTGTAATTTTTGATCCGGGTGTATGTATATGTGTATGTGTATGTATGTATGTATGTGTGTATGTATGTATGTATGTGTGTGTTGTGTGTGCGTGTGTGTTGTGTGTATGTGTGCTATCAACAAGAGTGCATTTCAACAATGACAACATACTCGCTTATCGCGTGACACAACGCACTCACGTGATAAATATATGCACCCTAATCTACATTATCTATAACTAGCTCGAAACAAAATGTATACATACATACATACATACATACAAACAAACATACATACAAACAAACATACATACAAATAAACAAACAAACATACAAACAAACAAATATACATACATACATACATACAATCGATCAACCAAACATCAAATGATTTTTGTAAAGTTTAATAAACAGCACTGTCAATCATTCGCAATTAATAGAATAATTTTCATTCTCATGTGCTTTTATAATTGTCTTGAACGTTTATTGATATATGTATGTATGTATGTATGTATGTATGTATGTATGTATGTATGTATGTATGTATGTATGTATGTATGTATGTGTGTATGTATGTATGTATGTATGTATGTATGTATGTATGTATGTATGTATGTATGTATGTATGTATGTTATTGTTATTTCTATCCTATAGTTAATGTAGATCCAGATACGATCATTAATTATAGACACGTACATGCATATATTACGAATGATGACGACGGCAAAATTGCTACTACCACCACTACAACAACAGCTACTACTTACCACAACCACTACTACTACCACAACCACTACTACTACCACAATCTCTACTACTACTACTACTACTACTACTGCTGCTGCTGCTGCTGCTGCTGCTACTAATACTACTACTACTAACGATCGTCATCGATTTATCGGTTCTGGTGCACCAGATCTTGCAACCAGGGCATGGAAAGTATCCTCTGCTCTTCATCAGGAAATTTTCAGACAGGGAATTCTGAATTTTAATTTTTTCATCGTCCTTGAACTTGGCCACCTGTTCGACTGTAGTCCAATCCCAGGGTTTGCTACACTCTGGGCAAGTTATCCGGTTTTGCTTCTTTGAAATTTCATACAGGCAATGTTCGACCATTGATTCTGAAGCTGAAATTATTATGTTTGATTATAATTATAATATAATATATTATTTTATAATAGTCTGAATCAAATTGAAAAAAAAATGTACAAGTTACGAACTTATGTGGTGTCCACAGGGCATGATGGCTCTAGGGTGCATCTCATCATTGTCGAGACTGACTATGCAACGAATTTTTTTGTCGCAAGTGAAGCTGACACGTTTTGTGTACTGGCCGTCAGGTCCTTTTTGTTCGGTTTTGGTTAGATGTGTTCGATCAAAAATTAAAAAAAAAACACTAAACCATAATTAACAAAAAAGTTAAAACTGCGTGTATCTTGTTTAAAGCATTAAAAACAATTCAAACAAATTCCTTTATAATCTGACATTATAGCTAATTTTCTTACGCGGGCCTTTGAACTGGCCCCCTTTAAGACCCATGACCACGGTTAGGGACGAGGCGTGTGTTATCTCCAACGCCACCAACCTTCTCTCGCTTCCGTAAGATATAATCGTGCCTGATTTGAACGTTGTTCTATTATTATTTGCATTATCGTTATTATTGTTGTTATTATTATTGTTGTTGTTATTATTATTATTAATGATATTATTATTTACCGGCGTGGAGGACTTCCAGCTGGTTGGCTTCGATGGTCGGGATGAATTTTCGTTGAATCTCCTCCAAGACATGATCAATCGTACAGTCCTTATTATTATTATTATTAATTCATTCATCAATTCATGAATGAACCAATGAATGAATTAACTAAACGAACAGCTGAATGGATGAGTCTTTGAATGAACGAATACTTAAACAAATAAACGAAAGAGCAAATGAACAAACGAAAGAACGAACGAATGAACGAACGAACTTCGAACGAATGAATGAATGAAATGAATGAATGAATGAATGATTTAATGAGTGAATTAATTGGTTAACCAACCGCGGAGACGACAAGAATTTTAGTTTGATCACCGATTGAAATGTTCAGCTGTATGTTACCAGACATTTTCTCGCCCAATAAAATTTTTATTTTATCCGAAAAAACGAATAAAAATAATAAAATAATTAATTATTATCTTAACGAATAATTTTAATTATATAAATAATAATTGTTACTACAATAGCTCTTGGATGTGTCTGCCACTAGGTAAAACTGTTCAGAAAACGAAATTTGGAAAAACCCGAACATCTCACACACACACAAACACACCTACAAACACACACAAATATATATACAATATATACATAAATGTACATTCATTCATTCATAAATACATACATACATACATACATACATACACACTTATACATACATCAAACACACATACACCTACATTTAGATAGCTATAGAGATGTGTGCTATATGCAAATTCACAATAAAATAATGTAGTAATTATTATTTATAATACACTAAAACCCAAATATAGTATTAATACTACTATTTTAGCAGAATAGTTTACAAAAATTAAAATTTAACAACAAAAATATAAAAAAAATTTGAAGATTGAAAACCGAAAGTGCGAGATTTACCAGAAAATGATGACTACCACGCATTAGTTTAGAATTTTTTTATGTTTCTTAACCATTAGTAAATCAATTACCAAATCAAGTTACAAAAATTACCTAAATTTTTACAATTCTTTAAAATCTGTTATATAATTGTAACTTTACGTACAATTTTTTTTATAGGTTAGTTATATTTTGTTGATAATCTGATCTGTTTAATTTTTTTTAAGATCTCTTCAAACCGGACGAAAATTAAACCAGACTATGAGAAAGGGACTGAAACGTAAGTTAAAACGGGAAAAAATAAGCCCCACACATACATGCCTATAGACGCACACACACACACACACGCAGAGTCTATATAGACGCGCGCGCACACACACACACTAATTTAAATTTATTTTTCTACTAGGATCTAAAGCTGAATCACCACTACCCAATAGCGACATAGTTGAAGAATTCTCGACCAACAACAATTACAATAATAAGAATAGGAAGAAGAATAATAACCATAGCGATGATAACAATTACGACTCAGACATATTTCAAGACATATTTCCGAGACATCCGTACGACGAATATCACGACGGAATTCCAAAAAAATCATCACATTTTCGGATTGGGACTAAACCGAAAAAGAAAATAGTATGGACCAGAGACTCGTGTAATCCGGATGTTGTTACTTTTGATGATGACGTCATAACTGCCAGGGCTGTCATGACGTGTGGACATGCGATATGTTAGGGGGCTAATTCTTTTTTAATTATTAAAATAAATAATTATTATAACAATTATAGTTATTATTATTATTATTATTGTAACAAGCACATTCTCTCTTTCTAATTACGTATCTTCAAGACATGAAATAATAATTAACTGTTCGTGCTTATTTTCATTAAAGCCCCTAAATCTCTCAGAAGTTTTGTCGAGAATGAGATCCGGATCGGCAAAATTAAATTTATATGTCCCGGTCAATCTATTTCCGGCAACTGTGATCACTCAATTCCGTTGACCTGGATAGCTGAGGTTTGCGCTTTTGCAGAAAACGAGACCAAAAGTTATGAAAAGAAAATGACGGAAAATCGTCTGAATAATTCTCCCAATTTTGTCCAATGCCCTCGTTGTCAAATATGGATAGACAAAAAATGCATACCCATTTGCAATAAAGTTACTTGTCCGAACTGTAGCAGCGGTAGTGGCAGCCGTCGTAGCAGTAGTAACCAAAATGAAAAGTTTGAATTTTGTAGGAAATGCTCTACAGAATGGGATTTGTACACGGACAATGACGACGATGACGTTGATCGTTCTGGAAATAATCCTTCCAGTGTGAAGGATAACAACAACAAGGTCTGTTTAAATCCAAGCTGTCCAACTTGGAGCACCCTGGACGTTTTGGAAAATTGCGAAACGATAACTATAAACGGCGAGGCCTGTCCCACGTTTAGGGCTTGCCCTAACTGTGAGACCCTCATTCGCCACAAAGGCCAGTGCAACCACGTCAACTGCAGCAAATGCGAGACAGGATTTTGTTTCGTTTGCCTGAAAGTAAGGCAGGGTAAAAAATGGCATTGCGACTACTCACTGAGATGCTTGGCCGCTCCTCTTCAAAATCTTGGAATCCAAAATGATCAGCGTCTGAGAAGTGCCAACGTGAAAAAGAGAAATAAAATCGTCTCTCTTACCGATTTACCTGATGAGATGACAATATTTGGCTTGTTGTCTGCCACGTGTTTGTATTTCTTGCACTACTTTGAATGCCAATCTCTCGGATTGAAATTAGTTTTTGCGCCTATATTCATGTGGGCAGTGAAATTTTTGCTTGAAAATGAAAGAAATAAATCATAACTGTTATATTTCAGTTATTTTTTTCTCAAATTTATTAATTTTAGAGCAGCTTACTACAAGTTATTAACTCATGATTGACAAGTTGTTTGGTCAACGACAAACGCCTATCAGTCGATAGATTTTCCTTACAATTTTCTTCTTATAATTCTTCTTATAATTCTTATATTCTTATAATTTTATTATTATTATTATTAATATTATACCATCATAATTATTATTCTCATTAATATTATTATTATTACAGTAAAATGTTTTCTTACGACGCTCGTTTTTTCAAACTTCTTGAAATACAATAAAATATTAAAAAACGTATGAAAATAAATCTTTAAATCTAACAAAATAAAAAAATAAATGAAACAAATCGGACGTAAATTAACGTAAATTATGTAAAATTCAACACAAAGTCAGCCGGAGAGCTTCGGAATAGATGTCTGTCTAGCTGCAACCACACAAGGCTTCTCATAAGAACATGGCCAACCGATTCCAATCAACTTTTTAAGACAGGCGAAACAAAAACCTTGACTGCACTTACTACACGTAATATGCTTGCATCCATCTTTATACTTAATCAACGTACCGCAATTGACACAGGCTCTTGAAGACGGAATTTGCATCATGCTCAGGCTAATTAAAGTACACATTTGTAAGATTTCAAGGTCTTCTTATTCCCGCAGTGAATATTTTGACAAAATGTTCCATCATCGTCGTTATCTCTCTTTTTTTCTATCGTAAAAATTTGTAAGCACTCCCAACAAAAATCGGAATCGCAAGCCAGGCACTTTATCTTTGTAACATGATCCGTATTTCTGATGTAAATCAGACACCTTGGACACTGTTTGATGCAACTAGTGTCGTTTATCACGTTGTTGTTCAGGTTGATTTCTAAGCTTTCGATATCTTTCAGTGAACTTTCATACTTCTCTTCAAATCCAACCATTTTAATTCTCGGTCGCAAAAACCGCCGATGTCCTGATTGGGGCATTTGATGATAGATTTGCCGCTTCCGATGCCATCTTTTACGTACTCAACTAAACATTCAGTACCTTCTCCGTGAGATTAAGCAATGTGATTGAGTAAAACTAAAAATATAATTACACTGAATTAAAAAAAAAAGTTGAATTCGTATTATAGATACATTATCAACAACAACAAATACTACAACTAATAAAACAATGACAACTAATATAATCATATGACTACCACTAATAGTACAACAACTACAACTGCTGCTACCGCTACTACATGACAACTATTCACATATGGTGTGGCCGCAATTTGTGGTAAAGTCTTTCGAATGAGAAGGCTGGTCTTCGAAGCACATGCAACACTGAGCCATATTATAAAAACTTAAAAAAACTAATAATAATAAAATATTATTATTCTTATAATATTATTTTTATTATTATTAATATTATACCATCATAATTATTATTATCATTAATATTATTATTTTTACAATAAAATGTTTACTTTACATAGATGTGTTTCAATTTGTGTGTGAGGTCCAACAATAATGAATGGCGAAATCGAGACCACGGAAATATTCTCAGTGACGAGAGTTTAAATAATTTAAAAGTGAACTTTAAAAGTTTAAAAGAAGTACAATTTTACATAAATATACGCACACGCGCACACACACAAACATAGAAAAATAATTTGTCAGATTTTTTTTATTCTTCCATTTAGAATTGAAAATACATTTAAAGATGAAAGCATTAAGAGATATATAATTGGACTCCAAAATCTATTAGAACAACAACAACAACGGTAATAATAATAATATAAATAATAATAACAATAATAATAATTACATTGAGCAATCTAAATCAGAAAATTTTTTAAAACATAAATTTAAAAAAATACGAAGTTATATATATATATATATATATATATATATTTATATTTATATATGCGTATAATTACACATTATATGAGTGAGTGAGAGAACGAATAAAGGAATATCGATTAATGAATGAATGAATGAATAGGTCTGTGACTGGAGAAACATACTACGAATATATAAATAAAATGAACGAAAGAACGAACAAGCCAACAAATAAATGAATAAAACGATCGTTACTATTAGTATCATTTTCATCATCATCATAACCATAATCATCATCATCGACATCATCATTACTACAACTCTTCCATAAATTAAAACCAGAGCAGAAAGTTAATTAACTTTTTTTACGAATTTGTAATAATAATAACAACAACAACAATAATAATAATAACTGCTACTACTTTTACAACAACAATAGCAATAATAATAATAATAATAGTGACAAAAATATGAAAACATTACCAAGAATAATTAAAAATTACCTATATAAACACGCACACACAGAGCACAACACACATAGTTTTAACATTTAACATCGATTGATATAAATAATTAAAAAGTTTTTTGGAAATTTAATTAAATTATACAAAATGAACTCTTTTAAGAATAAGATATAAATACATAAAGAATAAAAAAAATTAAGAGCTCTCATTGGCTAGCCAGACAACTGGGCTAGCCAATGAAAAAATTCGAAAAAATTTTTTAGAAAAATAAAGCGTTTTGAGATTGCTAAAATGTTTTACAAAAGTTGTTTGCAAGAGGTGTAAAAATCAATCAGTCAATCAATCAAACGACTATTCAATCAAATCAATCAACCAACCAATCAACCAGACATCCAATCAACCAACCAATCGAACACTCTTTTCATCGACCACGCCAACAAAAACAAAACAGCCAATCAGACGAGGGCTTTTTCGGAATGATTATCGTCACCGTCGTCCGAGCCAGCCAATGAGGTTCGACTCCTCCTCAACCTGTAAAACGCGTAAAAATAATTATAGACCACAATATTATTAATAATTAAGAATAATAATTATTATAATAATTAATAATAGGAGAAAATGGTTGACCTCGACTGGAGATGCTGTAGTTGAAGGTTGTAGTTGTCAATCTGCTGCTGCAACTCCTCCATGTTCCTCTGCATCTTCTTCATAGCCATCGACTGCTGGTCATTCTGCATCCACATCATCATCATCGTCATCATCATCGTCGTCGTCGTCGTTCGTCGTCATCATCATCATCATCCCCACCATCATCATCATCTCCATCATCATCATCATTACTTCATCTTCGGCATTCGCCAGATCCCTCTTCAGTTCCTCAATCCTACCCCTCAACTTCTTGACCTCCATTTCGTAGTGCTCGGCTCGACTTCGGACGTGCTCCAACTCCGACGATCGGTCCTGCAGCTGCTTCTTCAGCCTCGCGTGCGCGTGCTTCAACTCGCTTAATTCCTGTCAAGTCGTGAAGAGAGTGAGAGAGAGAGAGAGAGAGAGAGAGAGAGAGAGAGAGAGAGAGAGAGAGAGAGAGAAAGAAAAGAAAAAGAGTGAAAGAATGACGAAGAAAATCAGGAAAAGTAATTGAGAAAGGTGGATATGAAGAAAGACGATAGATTGAAGGGTGAGAGAGAGAGAGAGAGAGAGAGAGAGAAAGTGAGAGAGAAAGTAAGAAAGAGATGAAAAAAGTAATTGATCAATAATTGAACCATCATCTTAACCGTCCCCAGCAGAAGTTTCATCGACCTACCTTCGTTTTCTCACTCAACTCCTCCATATCCAGAGCCGCGTTTTGATTGGTCGACGAGTGGCCTGACGTAAGCAGACGACATCTATTCAATTCTTCGGTCACGTGACTCAACTCGTTCACTAATTTTTTGTTCTCGCGTTCCAGGGAGATTTTCTCGGTTTCCAGTTTCTCCCTGAGGGTCCATTCCGTGGCGTTCTCAACCTGCAGCTTTTCCAGCTGAACAACAACAACAACAATAATAATAATAATAACAATAATGATAATAGTGATGATAATGATACCTCTCTGTGTAGATCCGTTAGTTTGCTGTTGAATTCACTGTTGGTATCGCTCATCATGCCATCCTCCAAGTCAGATCTTGAATGAATGAATGAATGAATGAATGAATGAACGAATGAATGAATGAACGAATGAACTAACGATGAAATGAAGAAAAAATAAACGAATGAAACCTTATTGTCTCCATCCTCTCATCCTTCCATTGTCTTAGTCTAGATATCTACATTTGGAAGAAATTATTACAACAATAATAACCATAACAACGACAACAACAACATCAGCAATAATAATAATACTAATAATAACAAGGGCAACCTCTTCGTCACAGTCGGCCTTGGCCCTTCGAAGGTCGTCGTACTGCTCGGTCAGTTTGTCCACCTGCCCTTGTAAGCCGTTCACAGTGTCCATGACTTTTAATTTTTCTCTGCGTGTGGTGTGGAAAGGTAAATAAACTGTGTGGTGACGATGCTGATGACCATGAAGATGCAACAATGATGATGACAAAATTTAATCCCACCCTATTACCTAGTCTCTTTCTCTAGTTTTTCCTTCAAATCTTCAATCATTTTCAACCAAAAATCATCAGAGTTTTCATTCTTAAGAACTGGAGCAGTGGAAGATGATGTTGTTGTTGTCGTTGTTGTTGATATTGATGTTTGCTTACACTCAGGTGGTTTGCAACTCTTTGAAATGATGACATCATCATCCTCATCATCATCGTTGTTGTTTTTTTTATTATTTGTGTGGCTTTCATTAAGGTTTAATTCATTGATGTTGAGTTCAAATTTATTATTGAAAATGTCACCCTGCAGAGCTTTTGTCTCTAGACCAGCCTCCTGATCGGACAGACGTTTCAATTTGTATTCAAATTTTTGTTGCAGTTTTTTGAGGTTGGCATTCTCCTTGATGACTGACTCCAGCTTGAACTTCAAAGCCCTGCACTCCTCTCTCGATTGATTTCTCTCATTTCGAACCTTGCTCCACTTTTCGCGCCAGTTGGCCGTACAGTCAGACCACCACCTCATTGTCTTTTCCATCTGAGCGACTCTCGCTCTCACCTCTTCCAGCTCTCTCTGCCTAATTTCCTCCTTCATGTCGAGGTCAATGGAGTTGTTGGTTTGCAGTTGGAAAGGTTTCTGATTAGATGGAATGGGCGGAAGATCTCGTCTGCTCGGAGTTTTCACGAAATTCTGCTGATGGCTTTGAGTTCGCTCAGGAGTTGATGGCAGACGATTGTGATGGTGGTGATGATGATGATGGCCGATTCCTGAAAGATCTGAATGTGGAGGAACTGGTGGTGGGTTCATGGAAAATTTTTAGAGCGAATTTTCTTGTGGGAACGAACTTTTATATTAAATTTTTGACTTGTTTCAGTTTCACACTTTCACACACGACTCAATTTCAGTCAGTTTTTATTGCAAATATGGATTTTACATGTATATAATTAATGCATTTATTAAATTCGGAATTGAATGGAAAAAATTTCTTTAAAAAAATGAAAATTAGACGCCACGAAGTGTGCAACTATTTCTACGATGCGATGTCCCTTTAAAAATTAAATAGACATTATCGATTGATCGCGAATGTTTACATTCGAGCAAAGTATCGAAATTTATGGACAGCCGACGTCATTTATTTTATTCAATTTAAGAGTGTTTACGTGGGTTTTTATCAATTAACTTTATCACAACTCAAACAAAATACTAAATTTTCTTTTCTTAAATCTAATTTTATCTTTAAATTTACAAAGCACCGAGCAAATGGAAATAACTTAACATGAAGACATCACATTAGCAACTGGAAAATTTTGATGTAATGTTTTATGATGTTTTAGAGAAAAAGATGTCGAAAGAAAGAGAGGAAGAAAGAAAGAGAAAAAAAAGAGAGAAATAAAAAAACGTATAGTCGAGGATAGAACGAGAATAAGGCTAGAAAGCAAATATTTACACATACAGAGAATTTTATACATAAGTGGAGTACATATAGTAAAAGTGGAGTAGGTACATTTAGTAAAAGTTCATAGTCAGTGCACAAAAGAGAATCAAATTGAGATGAAATTAATCAACTTTATCCCTTCAGCACTCCTGCGAACATAAATATGTAAATGGCTGACGATGAACTGCTCAAGAAATTTGTTCTACAATGTATTTATTACCAATAATTCGACATTTAATAATGAAAGCTAAAAGTATGAAACGTGATTAAAGCCGCCATCATCATCATCACTCTCAACGTTATCATCATCATTAAAACGAAAAAAGAAGCAATTAAAACAATTAATAAGTATCTGGAAAAAAAAATCTCAACTCAAAATTGTCGAAACGAAATCATTATAAAAAATGCTTGAGTAACAAAAAGGGATTGTTAGATAAATAAAATACGCTTATCTAACTAATTTCTAACTCTTAAACACACTCTCTCTCTTTCTCTCTACATTTCTTTCTCTCTCTCTCTCTATGTGCGTCTGTGTGTGTGCATACATATACCTAGATAAAACAATGAATTCTGTATAAAAAAAAAACAAAATTTTCATATAAGATAGATGTACAAAGTTACAAACACACAAGACATAAGATAAAAAGAATGATAGAACATAATTAGTCTCAATTCAATACCCAACAACACTCACAACGAACAAAAAACTTTATATAATAATATTATGACCATTAATAAAAACATTAATAATTTTATTATTAATATTAGGAATTTTTAAAAATTTCAAAGTAGGCACCGATCAATCAATGTCTTGAAATATATTATCAATTAAGACGAATAAACAAATAGGTAAACGAAACAACAATTAATTAACTAACTAATCAATTAGGTAGTTATATATATATATATATATATATATATATATATATATATATATATATATATATATATATATATATATATATATGAACAATTATAATTATTGATTACTAATGAGTTAAAAAAGCAATTACATTTATTGCAATGTTACAATAAGACTTAATATAATAGTGTTATATAATTAATCAGCAACGTTAACCATTCATATTATATTATATTATATTAATTATATTATATTAATTATATTATATTAGTTATTAATTTATTTAGTTGTTTAATTATTGTTCATATCTTTCAAACCTGCACTTATATTTATGTAGAAATAAATTTGAAGAACTAATTTCATGGCAAATGATGCTGAGTTGTCTCTTTTTGACCCATATGCTCTAGATAAACGAACGAATGAACAAATGAATGAATAAACGAATGAATGAACGAATGAATGCAATGCACAGATGAAAGAATGTGTACATCAATTGAATGAATGAACGAATAAACGGATGAACGGAACGAATGAAAAATAAATAAATAAACGAATGAATAAGAGAATAAAAAAAAACGAATGAATAAATGAATAAAACTAAATACCGTCAAGTTTTTGTGAGGCTGACTTCACGCCATCATCAATTTTGCCACTCAGCTCTTTTGTGTAACCTGTAAGATGGACAGAGAAAAAATAACTAGGAAAAATAAGAAAGAGAGAGATGAAAGAGAGATTGAAGAAAAAAAAAGATGAAGGGAGAGACAAGAGACAACATACCTCCAACAGCTTCATTAACTTGTTTGGCACCATGATCGACTTTCTCATCGAGAGTCTTCTTGTACCCGCTCACCGCATCAGCAACCTGTTTGGTTCCTTCATTCAGCTGGTCATGGGCATATGCCTTAAAGCCTGCAATGTTTAAAAGTTGAAGTTAATAATGTTTCATTTATCTAGCGTACCATTTTTTTTTTGAAGTTAGGGGCACTTGAAAAGAATTAACTTTTCATAAGTCATACATGTTGTACATGTAAACGATAAGCAAGACCACTTTGCAATCATTGCAATGCAATAGACTGAAACTAAATCACTAGGCCTTTAAAATTTAATATAGCCAGTACAGTTTGTTTGTAGAATTGGCCACCTTCTAATTTTTCAGATGCCTGTTTGGCTCCTTCATGTAGTTTGTCGTCAACCTTTGTTTTGTAATCTTTGGTGTGGTTTTTAAAAAAAATGTGTAATGGATTGTATGTCAGTCAGAATAATTAATTTTATATATGTCCAATAATATAGATACTTTATTAATTTAGCAATTCATTGAATCATATATTTACTCACTTATTCATTCACTTATTATTCCTTCATTCATCACACATACATTTGTATATTTATTCATTCATTCATTCAATCATTCATTGACTCAATCACTCATTCAATCACTCTTTCATTCATTCACCAACTCACCATCATAACTGTCATAAACTTTTTTTGAACTATCTTTCAGGTCTTGAGAGTAACCTAAGAATAATATAATATATAAATAAATAATAATAATAAATAATAATATAATAAATAATAACAATAAATAATAATAGTTATAACAATAATTTTACCTTCAAAAGTTTCTTTAGCCGATTTAACTCCAGCCGCTATCTTATCACTGGCATCTGCTTTGTAGTCTAGAATAATTTATTATTATAATACTCATAATATAATAATTTAAATAATTTAATTATTATTATAATATATATATATATATAATACTTATAATAACAATATTATTATTAATAATAAAATATTAAAAAATTATAATAACCATCTAATTTGCTGGTAACATTCTTTACACCTTCTGATAACTTTTCATTCAAATGCTCTCCAGCCTGTTCTATAGATTTGACTGGATCTGGCATATCTGATAATAATCACAATAATAAATAATAATAACAATAATAAAAAATAATAAGAAGAAATAAAACAACAAAATAAAACAAAGTAAAAAAATAAATAACCATATTTAGACAGACTATTAATATTAGTATCATTTGAGACCAAAGAATCATTAGCACTAGGCAAAACTACAAAGCTACTAAAGCTGCTACTACTACTGTTATCATTATCCATACTAATACTACTAATATTAGGATTATTACTGTCCCCAGAGTTTGATTTCTGGGGTACAGGTAAAGTATCAACTGATTTGTCAAACGTTTCTGATGAAAATGATGAAAGTTCAGGATCTTTGGCAACTGTTTTTTTAGCAGGTGAAGTTGGGGGTTTTTGTGGTTCTAATGGCGCTACAGATGGCGCTCTGGGTGGCAGTGGTTCTTCTAAATCACATGATGGTGTTAAAAGTTTTTGGGATTTAAATATTTTATTGATTTTAAATTATTAAATGTAACCTGATTTTAATTTAAATTAAAGTTTAATTTGTTTAATTATTAAACAATTTACCATAATAAAATACCTAAAATTTCAACTGGTTTATTGAGAGAATTATTCATTAAAATCTAGTACCAAGTACCTATGGAACTAGGCTAATCTAATGCTAATGATTCCTAGCAGGCATGCACAAAAAAAGGATGATTGATTTGATAGTAAAATTAAAACAAAATATTTCAAATTTTAACAAATCAAATCACTCAACAAACCTTTTTCAAGCTGTTCTTTGTAGTATTTATACCCAAGGTAGGCCACCACGCCAGCCCCGGCGATGCAGGCCACGGCCGTCAGAGCTTTTGACGTCTGCTGGTCGCCGCCATTTATAATTTCTTTCTTGAAGAATGACATACTTATTCTTTTTCCTTTCTGGCAAGAATTGAGATCTAATTTGAAACTTTACACAATATGTTGATTTGTGAATGAATTATTAATCTCTCTATTTTAATTATTCATTTGATTTTTATAAAACAAGGCAAACTAATAATAAAAACGACCTTAACCAATCAACTATTTTGGATTGGTAGGAAATTAGCGAAGAAAGGTCGTACCTCGAAATTCACTTTTAACCTTTCAGCAAAGAACTTTAAATACATTTTTCCATTTTTACACACATACACACCACACACACACCACACACACTCACACAAACGCAGACAAACACATACACAAGAGGAGATTGTCATATTCAAATTTCTTAAAAATTGTGTAATGAACAAAGAATGAGTAAGTTAACATGTATATAATTGTTCGTGGTTATTATGTCTGTGTGTGTGTGGGTGTGTGTGTTTATGTATGTGTATGTGTGTGTGTGTGTGTGTGTGTTTATGTATGTATTAGATTTTATTTATGAGTATCTTAATCATTTCATTTTCAGAAGATTTAAATCAGACACAATTCTTCAATTAACTCGAATATTATTACCACAACTACTACTATTGCTACTATTACTATTATTATTGCTAATATTTATTGTGATGAATTGATATTATTGAGATAAATGTGTATACAAAGTCCAAAAATTTTAATTCAAATTTTTACAAAATGAAAATTAAAGCATCAAAAAGATAATGTTATAAGTCAAATGCCAAATAATCAAGTGTATATATCATATATACATAAATAATACATTGTATATTTATATTTATATATATATATATATATATATAATACATTGCATATATGTATATATATTATATATGTATATGTATGTGTGTGTGTGTAATTTTTTTCATTTATTTTGGACAGCCAAGAAGGGATTCTTTAACTCCTTTAGAAATATTATTATAATTATCATTATTATTATTATTATTTATTTTAATTATTATTATTAATCAACCTTCAATATTTTCCTTGGCAGCATCAACTTCTTATTGAATGGAGCTGTTGAAGCCTGTCAATCAAAGTTATCTTACGTTTAACTGTTTATTTATTTATGTATTCATTCACTCAATCATTCATTCATTCATTCATTCATTCATTCATTCATTCATTCATTCATTCATTCATTCATTCATTCACTCATTCATTCATTCATTCATTCATTTATTCGTTCGTTCA